TACTGTGGAAGAAAGCACAAAAAAAATTGTAGAAGTTTTAAAAATATATAAGAATTGGTAAAGTTAAAGAGTCTGTTATTGCTCTGTGTAGCATCTAAGCCCAGCCTTCAAATATTGCACTTCAAAAAATCTTATGTGTTTTCTGCTAGTTTTGAGAAAAATATAATTTGTTAAATCCCCATTCAGGGTTGGATACTGTGCATAACTTAGTGAAAATATGTTTCTGCTCAAATCTGCCAGTATAAGAAGCACTGATTCTGAACAGACTCTTTACCTCACATGTAATGTTGTATCTCCCCATCCTCTGGTGTGCTGAAAGATCTGGAAAATGTACAGAAGTAGAAACTCTGCTGTGGTCCTGTGCTTTTCATGTGAAACAGCTGGTAATAGGGCTTTATTAATTGATGCAGTAGTTGAAATGATATTAATGCTTAATCAGTAGGAAAACCTTTCTAGCACAGTTCAACTTTGACTACTAAAATCCTAAGTGGTGAATCAAAAGTTGATTTTGACTCGCTACTATTCATATAGAAAGTGACGTGAGTGTTATCAAAGTATTCACAGTGTGTGTGTGTCTGCCCTGAGACATTTCCAGCCAGATGGTGTGTGGCAGAGGTAGGTGTGTGGTTTCTCAGTTATGCCACGTGGCTTTAGTCGAGAAAACACTTCAAGTCATTTAACTGCTGCTCAAAAGTTCTGATGTCTTTTTGCTGTCCTAAGCGTAGGCTGGTTTTGTGGCTTCAGATTAATGAGCCAGTGTCTTATTTGGTTCCTAAACTGGATAGCTATCAAATTAAAAAACAAATTAAAAATGGTTATGACTGTACCAGTGTGGGGCTGTGTCACTCAGGGATGCCCACACCTTTCCATGTGGTGGACCAATTCCTTTCCAGTGGCTGGTGTCATACATCTGTTCAGTGTTAATAACGTGCATGTGTTAATAACATCCTGCCTTCAGGATGATGTGTTTTGCTTCGCATCTTAGAATCACAGAACCGTGAAGGTTGGAAGGGACCTTCAAGATCATCAGGTTCCAAACTCCCTACCATGAGCAAGGACACCTCACACCAGACCAGGCTGCACAAACCTCATCTAGCCTGGCCTTGAACACCCCCAGGGAAGGGGCTTCCACAACCTCCCTGGGCAAACTGTTCCAGTGCCTGTCTTCTCCTCCTTTTTCTGATCTTCCCCCCCTTTTCCCTACCATTTCTGTTAGGTGCTGCCTCAGTGCTACATGAAGCAGCTAGCTGTGCCTAAAGACTTGTTATGAGTAGCCCCATGCGTGACTTGCATCCTTTTTTGTGGCTGAGAATCCATTTGCTTCGCTTCCAAAGCTGAACAGGGGGCAAGGCAGACACCAACACAGGTAACATGGGTGACTAAAATATATGATGTGAGTTGTTTTGTTTGGAGGTTTTGCTTGTTCTGTACACAGGAGCTGGTAAATTCCTGTCCTGATGGAGAACGTCAGCACTCCAGGACACTTTCCAATGGCATTGGGATCTATTTCTAAAAAGTACTGTGTAAATTTCAAAAGATTCAAACCTCTATGTGATTACTAACGGTTGTCCTGCCTCTCAGTTTGTTCAAAATGTTGCAGAAAAGCTAAGGCTCCCTGAAGCAACCTGTCAGCTGGCTAGCTAAGCAACATCCACATTTCTGCAGAGCAGAAAATGTACAGGGGTGTGAAAACCATTGCTGTAACTTGGACTATTTCTGCTGCATCTGGAGTGCTGTGTCCAGCTCTGGAGCCCTCAGCACAGGAAAGAGAGGGGCCAGGGAAGGCCATGAAAATGATCCAAGGGCTGGAGCAGCTCTGCTCTGGAGACAGGCTGGGAAAGTTGAGGTGTTCAGCCTGGAGAAGAGGAGGCTCCAGGGAGACCTTAGAGCACCTTCCAGTGCCTGAAGGGGCTCCAGGAAAGCTGGGGAGGGACTTTTCACCAGAGAGGGCAGTGATAGGACAAGGGGTAATGGTTTTAAACTGAAAGAGGGGAGATTTAGGTCAGACATCAGGAAGAAATTCTTCACCATGAGGGCAGGAAGGCACTGGAATAGGCTGCCCAGGAAGGTTGTGGCTGCCCCATCCCTGGAGATGTTCAAGGACAGGTTGGATGAGGCTTGGGCAGCCCGGTCTGGTGGGAGGTGTCCCTGCTCATAGCAGGGAGGTTGGAACCTGATGATCTGGAAGGTCCCTTCCAACCTTCACCATTTTGAGATTCTGTGCTTTCTGTCTCTGACCGAAGCTGGTGGGAATGCTTTGCAAGCTCTGGAGATGTTGATGTAGTTAGGTTGGACTCTGTAAAGTTGGACCAGGATGTGCTGGCAGGATTGTGACTGTGGCTGAAAGCAGTCCCATCATGTCACACCCAAGCAGTTCAGGTGAAGAGGGTCCTGTGTGCCTCGATGTTTGGTGTCCTCTATCAGCACCATACCATGAAGTAAGAACAGGAATCCCATGTCCTGTGGTACTGTGAGCAGTTAGGGAAAGTCACTACTGAAAACTGCTTGTGCCAAGTCTGGAGCACTCAACTTCCCTGTCTTTTCTGCCACAACCCAAAGTACATCACAGAACTAGCACGTTTTAAGACATCAGATAAACTGCACAGAGCAACCACAGGAGATCAGCCTTCCAACTAAAATGTATTTTTGCCTTCATTTGTGTGATATTGTTAGGTTTCCCAACTGAGTACAAACACAGGCTGGGCAACCCTTGTGTCTTAGGTGAGGATAAACTGCTTCCCCGACAAGTGAGCACACTCAGCTGAATGTCTGAAGCACAGGGGCAGCTGCAGCTCATATTCCCATGGCCTGACCCCCCATCAGGTCTACTAGTGCTGGCAACTAGTAGTGTGTGAAAAGTGGTTGTGACAAGCTGAAATGACAGCCTCTTTGTGTGAAGAAAATAATAAAGCAAGTCTCTCCAGCTGTGTGCAGCATCCACTCTGCTTCATGGTGCAGCTATTCTGCTGTAATAACCCAATGATTCAGCAAATCCTTTCACCATGTACTTACATTCTTGCCAGCATGCTGAGGCTTGTTTAGGAGATACTAATTGCACCCAGGTTTAGTGCACTGTTGACCTTTAATGCTCTGCTGAATCACGGGCTGTGTCTGCGTTGCTGCTTCTGCCTTTTGTTGGATCTAACTCCAAGCACTAGAAAAAAGCTTGGAGGAAGTGGCACTTAAGGGATCACATCAGATGCTTCAAACAGGAGGAAAGCAAACGCTACTGAACAAAGACGTGTTTGATCCAGGACTTGAAAAGGCTTTAAAAGCCTTTCTAGAGTCCTGCCTGACCTCTGGCTCAGGGGAAATAATATAGATGAAATGTGAGAAGCTCTCAGAGCCTCAGGTAGAACAGTGTCATATGCTGCCTTTTATACTTGTGGGGTTTTCCAAAATACATTTCTAAAGAGTAATACCAGTATAGAAATGGTGATGTTGGAGTAATAGCTACTGATGGTGCATTGCTCACCTGTTGTGTTTGGAACTCCCCTTGGCCCAGTATTTTAAAAATAAATAGCTATTTTAAGCTTCAGCAAAATTGTAGAAGCAACTGTGTCAAGTCAGTGTCCCCTGTTGCTCTCTTTGTGGTGTAGGAAGGGGGAACCCTTTTGATCACCTCAGTAAGCAGATAGCTGTAATTCTCTGAAGCCTAATTCAGCAACCCTGCCTCCTCTTAACTTCCATACCCTGCAAACAGCGAAGTTATTTGAGAGCCACCTACACAGCTCTCAATTACATTTGTTTCTGTTGGTGTGTTTCAGTGGCTTAACCAGAGTACCATACTGTGTCTTGGAATTAGTAAAGCAAGAGTGTTTCAAACCTAATTGTGCATATAAAAGAAGGATGAGTATTGTTCATCCAGGTGCTCCTTTATCAGCAGCTTTTTGAGGCTCCCAAAAAAAGGGGACCAGGCTCTCTGGAGAACAGAAAACACCCTGCTGCCAGCCCTGCCAAACCAGTTCTGGTGGCTGCCACAGGAAGGTCAGCTCCAGGTACAGCTGCTGCAGGCTCTTATCAACCTGGTTATCAAACAGCTTCTTGTTAGTCTGGTCCTAGAATGCTGAGATTATAAATTAATTTACCTAAAATAAGGGATCCATGTGATAAAGATCTTCCATTTTGATTCTGCCACCCAATTCATATATTGTGCAGTGTTTCACCTGGTGAGATACTGGCTTTTCTTGGAGTGGTTAGGTCAATCCGTAGGATTTACATTGCAGCATCAAGGGCTAATTTAGTGAAGCAGATGAAGTAGCCAAATGTTCATGAGACGTTGGGCAGGGGGGGAGGAAATGCCAGTCTTCAAAAGCTCTTGAGTCTTACTTAGCTCTTGGGTAGCAGAAATATAATGCATTTGCACACCATTTGAGCATGACACTTTCATACCCCTCAGCTGCAGAAATCATCTTTATAAACAACAAGCTGTCCTATACCAGTCGACTATTGACATGCAGTTTTGTTGTAGTTGAGCCCAAGATTAGCACTGCAGGGATTTCTGGTTCTTTTTGCCCCACCCTCAAAGGTTAGTGAAATCAGGCTAGACTTAGTGGATGCCTCTGAATCCCACTTTTTTGAATGGATGCCTGTTCTGCTAAACTTAAAAGTAGCTAAGTCTCTCCAGGTGGGTGTTAAGCAGCCTATAATGACAAACATTAGCATATTTTCTATATTCAAGAATACATATATTTTAATTGTGGAAAGCAGGAAAAGCTTATGAAAAGCCTTCCTTCAAAAGCTCAAGTGAATTTTTACTTCTGGCTTCACTTGAGTGTGTGTTTGCCTTGTTGCTTCTACTCTGTGGCTTTGGCAGCCTCGTGTGATTTTATTAATTTTTTTTGCCTTTTTCCATCTAATAGGTCTTGTCTGAAATGTGTGTGTGTCCTTTTCATCTGCTGCTGCTTTCCTAGGAAGCAGAGAAGTTTCTCAAAGGGATTTTTCTTTTTTGCTCAGATGATCTAAAATTTGTATTTTTACTCTTTACCACAATGTTGCAGAGGAAGATGATGCTGAGGAGGTGCCAGAATTTCAAGTGTCTGGGAAAATTGGAGCAAAGAAGCAGAGGAAATTAGAAGAGAAACAAGCCAGAAAAGCACAGAGAGAGGTAAGTATTTCCTGCCACGTATAGAGCCCAGAGCAGAGCCTGAACAGCAGCACTCAGCAAACAGACACCCCAGAAAGGCAAAGGCAGTGTCATCACTACAACAGTTTTGATTTAAAAATGTAAATTCAGCTTTTTATGTCATATCCCAAGAGGAAAACAGAGTCTTATTTCGTTCTGTTTGGTTCTCTGGTGTTCTCATGGGGAGGAGAGAGGAGTTAAACTCTCAGATGCTCTTTCTTGGATGTTTCCACTGACTTGCAGCTTCATGTCAGTACTGTCTCCCCTTAAAAATACACTCAAGCCCACATAGTATTGTTGTCACACTGGGTCTATGACCAAAACTGTGGGCAGTTCTGACTAGTGTTTCCTGTGCTCTCATAATGCAAATAACTTTATATGGCTTTTATCTTCCTGTAGCCATGTTTGCTGTTCTTATGGATTGGGGGAGATGAAAAGCAGACCCTGTGATCCACTGCAGTCCATGATGCAGTCAGGTTTTGGTTGAAATTTGCCCCTTGAACAGGACCTAGAATGCAGAGAGAACACATTGTAGCTTTTCAGTTGTTCTGTCGTAAATCTCTGTGCCAAATCACAGAATGGTTTAAGTGGGAAGGGACCTTCAAGATCATCCAGTTCCAACCCCCCTGCATGGGCAGGGACACCTCCCACCAGCCCAGGTTGCTCCAAGCCCCATCCAACCTGCCCTTCAACACTGCCAGGGATGGGGCAGCCACAGCTTCCCTGGGCAAACTGTTCCAGCGTTTCAGTTTTCCCCTGTGAATTCCAGGGAAGCAACAGGCTTTTTGAAACTTAGAAGTGTGCTGGTGGATGGCAGCAGGTTAAGCATGAATTCCTTTTAGTTCCTCTATACATTTTCTTTGCAAACTCCATCTTGTTCTCTTTGCTGAAACGTGGGGTTGCAAGAAGCAGATGGACCTTAAACAGCCTTTGCATGAAAGAGGCTGGAGTGCACAGAGAACTTCACACATTTTTCAAAAGGCAGGGTGTGTGAAACCTCTTAACATTTCTGATGTGTAGAGGAGCCAAACAAAGCCAGTGAAATTTCGTCTTGAGAATTTTAGTGTCACTGGAGGTTTAAATCCAGTTTCTGCTTTACACTGTAATTAGTCGTATGCCCTGTAGATAGGGCAGTTGGTAATAAACCTGATTTTTATGCTATATATAAATTTCCATAATGACCATTTTCTCACTCTGTGCTTTCACAATTTTATCATTACTTTCTATCTTCATTCTGTTTAATGAAGCTCATTTTTTTTTGTGGAAAAATTGAGCAAAGTTGAATGAAGCCAGGTAAGCACTGGGTGGTGGAGGGAGGAATCTTTTGTTACATTTTAAAACATGCTGATTTTTATTTTCCCATATAGACAGATAGGTCTTTTTCACTGAAACATTCACAGCCACAAATCCTCCATTTCAATGTCTTCTGCTTGGTTTTTTAATATATTTCCAGATCCAAGTATACTGAAGAGAATGCAGAACTACTTAAATCTCGAAACAATTCACTAAAGGGCTTTTTTTCTCCTCAACAATCTCTTTGCTAAGTTTGGTTTAAAAACACATAATAACATTATTTTAAGCAACCAGTACAGCTTTTTCTTCAAGTGATTCTGCCCTGATTAATGATAAATTTGAATATACTTGGTTTTACAGAGTTTCTATTCCCCTGTCCTTTTTTGCCTCTCCTTAAGGCTCCTTTCTAACTAAATTGTCAGTGAGGAGAAATGGGAATGCCCTGACTCAGGATTACTTCATATCACTGGAGTAAGAAGCTCATATTATAAGCACATAAGAAACTTCAACCCTTATTGAGATACAGATAATGCAAATGTGATGGGTAATTTCTAAACTTAATATTTCACAATATTAAGTACTCTAAAGATCAGGGAGGGGGAGTTAAATAATAATGACTTTTTCTTCTTAGAATCACAGACTGGTTTGGGTTGGAAGGGACCTTCAAGACCATCCAGTCCCAACCCCCCTGCATGGACAGGGACACCTCCCACCAGCCCAGGTTGCTCCAAGCCCCATCCAACCTGCCCTTCAACACTGCCAGGGATGGGGCAGCCACAGCTTCCCTGGGCAACCTGGGCCAGGCTCTCACCACCCTCACAGCAAAGTTTTTTTTATTAACATCTCATTTAAATCTCCCTTATTTTAGTTTTAATCCATTCCCCCTCATCCTCTCCCTCCCTGCCCTTGTCCCAAGCCCGTCCCCAGCTTTCCTGGAGCCCCTTCAGGCACTGGAAGGTGCTCTAAGGTCTCCCTGGAGCCTTCTCTTCTCCAGACTGAACACCCCAACTCTCCCAGCCTGGCTCCAGAGCAGAGCTGCTCCAGCCCAAAGATCATTTTGTGGCCCTTCTCTTTACTGTTGCTTTCTCACCATGCATCAAGGAAATTAGTAAGGAACCCCCCCCATGGTAGCACAATATGACATTTAAAAAAGATAAAGTATATTCAGGAAGAGTAAGGCTTGTCTTGCATCATGTGTTTTGTTTTAGGCGGAAGAAGCAGAACGAGAAGAACGGAAAAAGCTTGAGTCAAAAAGAGAGGAGGAAAGGCGGAAAGAAGAGGAGCGAATACGTCTGGAGGAGGAACGGCAGGTGGGATTGGTTGTGTTCATAGATGGAAATTCTGAACCAAGGCTGTCTTTAAGATTGCTTCTGTGGAAGTCCTGTCATCAGCAGAGCTCCCTTTGGCTTTCGTTACTGTTGCATGTATTTTGAATTTGGTTTTTTGTTGCTCCATTGTCATAGAACCATAGAGTGCCAGGTTGGCAGGGACCTCAAGGACCATCTGCTCCAGCCTTTCTAGGTGCTGCTCTAGTTGATCTGAGGTGGCTCAGCCCCCTGTCCAGCTCAGACTTAACAGTGTCCAATGTGGGAGGATCTTCCTCTTCCCCTGGGAGACTTTTCCAATGTGTGACTGTCCTCATGGTGGAAAATTTACCTCTTGTGTCCATTCGGAACCTCCCCAGGAGCAACTTCTGCCCATGACCCCTTGTCTTTTCTATGGGTTTCCTTGCAAATAGGGAGTCTCCATCTTCTTGGCAACCACCCTTTAAATACTGGAACATGGTAATAAGGTCTCCCAAAACCCTTCTTTTCTCAAGGCTGAACAAACCCAGTTTTCTCAGCCTTTCCTCATTTGGCAGGTCTTCCAGTTGGATTTTTTTGTTGGAATTACCTTAATACTCATTAGATCCCAGCTTTGTTTCCCTTAGTACTTGGCAGAAGTGAAAACTGCTTCAGCCGTCAGGGTACACGTGGGGTAGCAAACACCCACCCATGGTTGGGTCTAGGGCAAAACAAAACCCAGTCTCCTGGTGGTGGATCTTTGCTATGTGCCAAAGGGACAGATGGTTTAGTTGATTTATGAGAAACTTGACATACATGGAATCATACCATAGAATCATGGAATGGTTTGGGTTGGAAGGGACCAACCTCCCTGCATGAACAGGGACATCTCCCACCAGCCCAGGTTGCTCCAAGCCCCATCCAACCTGCCCTTCAACACTGCCAGGGATGGGGCAGCCACAGCTTCTCTGGGCAACCTGGGCCAGGCTCTCACCACCCTCACAGCAAATAATTTCTTCCTAATGTCCAACCTAAATCTCCCCTCCTCCAGTTTTGATCCATCCCCCCCTTGTCCTCTCACCCCCTGCTCTTGTCCAAAGTCCCTCCCCAGCTTTTTATTATCTCTGGCCTTGCTCCAACAGCTCCATGTTGTTCTTGTTTTGGAGGCTCCAGAAACATGGCTGATAAAGTTGGCCATTTTTTTGTCTGGAAGCTGTTTAAGTGCAGGTATATGAAGGAAGGAGATGTACCTAGTTGCCAGAGTAATTTTTCAGTTTTCTTGCTTGGTGTCTGGCAGGAGAAGCTTGGTTATCACAGCATCAGAGAACAACATTGGTTGGAAGGGAACTTCAGTGACTGTCTGGTCTGTCCTGCTCAAACCATGTCTATTTAGAGCAGGTTTCTGAAGACCTTGACCAGCCAAGCTTTGAGTGTGGAGGAGATTTCTGAACCTCACTGGGCCTCTGTCCCATTGTGCTTGGTAGCTGTAACCAGCAGGGCAGAAAGTGAAAGTCATCAGCAACCCATTTTGCAACTGTGGAGTAAAATGACACTATTTTATTCTAATTACACAAATTTCCATGTGCTTCACAATTAAAGATTTCAAAACTGTGCATACAAAAGTCTGTGTAAGCAGGTGTGACCCAGAAAAACAGGTAGTGTGGAACTGAAAAGCTTTTGTTGAATATTTTCATCAGGGAGGAGGGAAAAATTATTTCAAAGGTGCTTTGTGGATTCCAGGCATCAGTGCTGCTAAGAATCATAGACTCATGCAGGTTGGAAAAGACCTGTTAGATCATCCAGTCCAACCTTAAGAGGCAGGAACCAGCTTCATACTCTCTGGTGCTCGAGCAAGTTGGGTGGTAGCTTTGCCAGGTGGTTCTGGAGAAATGTCTGGGTTATTCTGCACAGTTCTGTGCTGAGTAACTGCTGTCCCAGGGGAGTGTAGCCCCCAGCTTTCAGTGGGAACCTTCCTGGATACCTAGACATGCATAGAGGTTTGTGTCTGTGGTTTGTAGTGAGCAGATTGATTTTAGTTTGTTCTAAGGGCAGGTTGTGTAAGTGGAGTTTGTTGCAGATGACATTTTAAAAGAGGAAGGGCCATTTTTCCTTTTCTCTGTTGAGAGCATGAAGGCAGGAGAAAGCAATTTAATGTTTTTTTTCTTCCTGTACATTTACACACACAGATGGTATCCAGGAGATCTTTTGTAGAACATAGACTTACCTCTGAGGTTATTCCCCCCAAATCCTTTACCTGCTAAACTCTCTGTTGTTTCCTTTTCATCAGTAGAAGGTTCCTGACTTTCAGAAATTGAAATAGATGAGGACAAGTCAATACTAGACCATCAGGTTAAGTTGCATGACCTGAGATTTCAACTTGTAAAGCAACTTGAGTAAACTTCCAGGACACCAGTTAGTCCATAGCTGCCCTTCAGAGGCACATATACAAATTCAGAAGCACCTGGTGGTGGTCAAAGTGTGAGCCCTGGGGTGTGATAACAGATCTCAGCAAGCCTGAGCCACTCCTGTGCTGAGCCAGGGCCTTGCCCAACAGCCTATCTACCACACCTGGCTTCCTGTGGATACCTGTCTAGCTCTTTTCCCCTGCCCCCACACCAGCTTCTTTTGCCTTGTGGTCCCTGTGACTGCTCTGCTCTTCTCCTAAGAACTGCCAGGTTCTCCCTCTCATACTTCCAGCTTGGAAAGAGGCAACATGAGCTCTGGCTGCCTCTGGAGCACAGGTCTATTGCCCATTCTGCTGGCTATGGGGCTTGGGACAACATCATTCAGATGGCAAGATTCCCTCCAGTGCTGTATTCATTTAAGTCACTGGTCTCCAACCAGTTCCCTGATTATTTTTATTTATCTATTTATTTTCCCAAGGTTCTGGGAATTTAATATCCTTAAACCCTGGAGAGATGGTTTAAGTGACCCACGTGATGGCCTCAACACTTTGGGGGAATTAGGTCACCCTGGCTGTGTGGAAGTGTCACTTCCTTTGAGTGAGGCTAATTAACAGAATTCCCACTCCTTCCAGAGCAGTATCCAGCCTGGCAGGCAAGTTGTGAAGCAAACTGCACCTGGGCTTGGCCAACCTTCTCAAAAGAAGCTGTAGCCCAGGACAAAGATGTTACCCTGTTGATTGCCTCTGGGTTTGACCTGGGGTTTAGCAGTGCAGCTGGCTCATCAGGACCAGTTAGGCATGCTTGAAAAGTTGAGTAGAAAATAAGAGGGAAATTCTGACTAGAGGTCTCTTCACCCAGAACGTGCTTATTAACCTATTTAACTTCCTTTTAATCCACTTCTGTTCAATTTAGGGCTGATTTATTTTGGTTGAAGGAGGAAAATCTTGCATTTATTGAAATGTTCAACATTCCTAGTAGAGATTGCACTGTACCACTTCCACCTCTGTTTTGCAAGGTTAAAAAGAATATAAACTAAGACTTTAGGGGTTTTTTATTTGATTTTTTTTTTTTTTTAATTTTGAGCTCAACAGTCCAAAGGAGTACTTAAATCTTGAAATTTGCTCAGATGCCTGAATTTAGCTCACTCTTCACTTTAGGCAATAACTTCCTTGGCTACTTAAATGATGTCATTTTAACCTTTTGTTTGTTTGCTTGCTTGATTAATTTGTTTTTCACAGTAATCTTCATCAGGGCAGGAAGCCAATCCACTGGGCTACATCACAAAGGTTATGCTGCTACTCAGGGGCAAGTGTTTCCACTAATTTTATTTCTTGCTTGGATCTAAAACAGGTTGATAATCCAGTAACCACGGCACATTTTGAGTGTGGATGTTTCTGACAATATTTAATGTTCATCATCAAGTGTTTCTTAGTAATTTTGAGTGTCTTGTCTTCCTCCAAGTCTTTAAGAGGAGACAGAACAGTTCAAGCCTTGGACATGCTCAGGCTGTGTTGCTGGAATTCCTGCTTCAGTCAGCAAAGCAAGCAGCATTTACGGGGAATATGGGAATAACAAGGCTTCAGTGGTTTTGTCTTTAGTGGGTGATAGGAGGGGGAAACAAATCAAATTGATAGATATTGGATAACTGTGCATGTAGGCATAGCCTGTCTTTATGATCATAACATCTTAACAATTCGGATCATGGTACAGACTGGTTGAATGATGTAAAAGATCCTGTCTCTCTCTTGTAGTCCCCTGTAAGTGATAAAGGGATCACTGGATTTATTATGTTTTTATAGAATCCATAGGATAAAATGCCATTTATACCTTCCTCAGGAGAAAGGATTCTTCATTTCTTCAAGGAATGTGTTGTCATGACTGAGCCCTGGTGGACTCCACATCTGATAAGTGTTCCCCCATATGAGTTAGGAGGTGGAAAGGCAAAATTATCAAAGGTAGCTCCAGTAGGGATGGGTGGTCATGGGATAAGAACCAGAGGGGAGCTGGTTGTATCATTTTTGGAGGCAATTTGATTACTGACATTAGTGGAGTTTACACAATCCCCAAATCAAAAGAAATTAAAAGTTTATCACTAAGGTTTGCCTGAGAAATGTTTTAGTTGACAGCTTCATGTTTTTTTCCTCCTCCTTTTCCAGTACATGAGAGTATTTCTGCAGGTATGGTGACAGTGTGGCAAGTCTCCAAACAACCACAAACAGCTTTTTGAGCTAAATTTCAGTTGAACCTTCCTTTCAATCTCTCTCCCAAGAAGTGGTGCCAAAATTGTGCTCATTTCTGTGAGCATTGAGAGGGACTCTGTGGAGAGTTTCAGCTTTTCAGCTACAGCCTTAAACTAACAGCTGAATAACAGTTCAGCAGCAACAGCTGATTCCTGTGGCATTAAACACCATCTACAAGTTTGTCTGATGATGAGGAAAGCCAAATAGATCAGAGGATAGAAAATCATGATGCAGTGTACAGATCTAGAAATTCCCCAGTGTTGATCTTTGATAAAGTCACCAGGACTGTTAATCCTTTCACACACACACCCCACTCAGGGAGCCTGAGATTTGGAGTTCTGTAGGAATCATAGAATCTGCTGAGTTGGAAGGGACCCATCAA